ATAATTTTATTATAATACTAGCTGACCTGACAGACTTCGTCCTGTCAAAAAATCTACCAAATTGGTTCTGATTGCTCTGTTGATCTTTTAAGGTTCTTTTTCTGACTAAAGCATTAAAAGATTTTTGATGTGCCATCGTGCATTCATCCCAAACGATCTATTGATATTGCTGCAAAACCTTAGCCATTGCAGAGTTATTTGAAATGTTGCAAGTTGGAGTTTTATTGCTTTGCATATTTATTGGCAATTTTAGTGCTGAATGGGCTGTTCGACCACCTTCCAGTATAGTTGCTGCGATTCCCGATGAAGGGAGTGCAAGTGCAATTTTGTTTTGTGAGCAAATTGTTGCTAATATTAATAAAATTAAGAAAGTTTTTCCTGTACCACCAGGCGCATCTAAGAAGTAAATCCCCCCAGTTCCATCATTTGTTACTTTCATAAGAATATCAAATATATACCTCTGTTGTTTATTCAACAGTGGAAGATTTGTTTCGATTTATTCTTTCAAATTGTTGAGATCTTACAGTTTTTTCGATGCAACTCTTGGTTAAAAGCATCATGCATAGGACGATTGGGCGCGGCCAGGCCTAAGTGAAATAATACTTTGTTTGACATCATCAAGCACATGTCTTCAATTGAAATCAATGCTTCGTTGTAAATTTCTTTAATGATTTGCATATTTGGATTTCCCATTTTATTTCGTATTTATTACACATATAATCTTTGTAGGTACTTAGTCCACAAATTAAATGGGTTTGATGGAAAGCATGTGGATATAATTATAGAAAACAATGTTCGTATTTGATGAGCGTGTGAAGATATTACAGCATCGCTGAGAGTATGATCTCAATGAGCGTCATTTTCTAGCAATTGTAAACGTTGACGGGCTTCTCTGTAGGATCCACACAATTCACCATCAACAGTTTGTAAATATTGGAATGATGGCCCAACCACGTACATTGACTAATAGCAGTCGTAAACTAGCTGTAAGTGGAATTCTGTCTTAAGGCAATTAAGGCATCGTGCCTTAAGGCAAATTGCTGGAACTTCCCGTACCAATTTTTTTTTTTTTTAAAACGATTAACATTTTTGAAAAAAATATACTTCGAAAAAATAAGATTTTTGAGAAACTATAAATTGGACCAAAAATTACTTTTTTTTGAAAAAAAAAATGTTTTCTTTATTTTGACATATTTTGGAAGATCTAAACTTTTTTTCAAAGCAATCGTACTGCTTTAACTGCATAAAGACAAAATATCAAAGAGCGTAAATGCCGCATCGCCGTCTAACGCGTAAACATTGGTACGGAACCCATAGGACTGTAAACCCAATTCATACTTATTGTTAAAATATCTATAAAATATCTGATAATTTGATGTGCATAAGTCTAATGATCATTTGTGACCGCCAAATGGCATTTTTTTTACTTTTTTCATTAGATCTCCGAAACCGCTAGATCTGCCTTTATGAAAATTTGATTGGTTCTTCACCTTGTCAATATAAGTAAAATGTTTTTTGAATTATTAAAATGGGACGCTCCGTTCTCTTAAAAACTGAGTTACCGTTTTCGGCACTTTTTGCCCCGTATCGATTTTTTTTTTCATAAATTGCTCCCTTAACATGTCTAGAATACGGTAGTAAAGCGATTTTAGAAAATTCGAAGTCGTTTTAAAGATACAGCAGGTAAAAGAAAGAGCGGTTATATATAGTTTTTAACGGACTTGAAACTTTAAACGCGTTTTTCTCAAAACTGTGTTTTTCAAACTTTTCTCCATTGTATCTCAGAAACGGCTGGACCGAATTACTTGAAATTTACAGAGCACACTCAATATATTTAAACGCATGGAATGAACTATTATCAATCTTTTAATCAATCAAAATTGTTTATAGCAAAAAAAAAAAAAAAACTCCTAATTTGCAACTTTTATTTCAAATGTCTATCAAAAATCCATTTTTTTTTATATTCATTTGATTATAGGTCATTCCGTGCTTTTAAGCCTACAAATTAAAACGCCGTTTTAATAATAACGCCAATTTTTTTTTCAGATAAGCCGATCAGCCGGAATCGTGGAGAAAGTGGGAGCTCCTTTTTTCGAGACGGGGGTGTTCAGAGCGCTGTAACTCTAGTTTGACTGAATATTTTTAGCTGAAATTTTATATTTATACTGTCCAAATATGTGTTAATAAATGATAGAAAACTTGAAGCTCTAAATATTTACTGGTCGTAGAAAAAAAATCTTAAAATATCTCTAAAAAACAGGCCGTAACATAGGAAGACTCCCTTAAAAAATTGTGTCACATGCAATAACTTTTCATTCATAGGTAGATAACAAAACACTACAAACAAAACAAAAGCACACTCAGTGGAGTATAACAGAAAATGCAAGAAAAATAACACCGGCAAAGGCGGCAAATGGACATTGACATTGATTTTTTTTAATCTTATATGACTTGAAGTCAAATTCTTTAAAGCCATACCAATTTTGTCGCCTGCGGAAAGTAGGACAAAAGAAATAATATCAAGAAGCCGACTGCAATTATTTGTATTAGTTAGAAAAGGGCTGTTTTTAGGGTTTTCTCGATGATTATTTGGTTTTTTCTCGCCGTAAGAACCATCCTTCGACATCAAAACGAACATTTTAAAAAAAGAATCGATCAAATTGGTCCAGGCGTTGTTGAGTTATGCGCTTACCAACACATTTTGCGATCCATTTTTATATATAAGATATATATATATATATATATATATATATATATATATATACATACACATGTACATATATACATATATACATACAAACATACATATATATATATATACGTATATATGCACATACATATATACACATACACATACATATACATACATATACACATATATACACATACATACATACATATATATAAATGCACATACATGTATATGCCTACACATTCCTTGCTCTTTATCCCATTTTTTTTTATTTCATGTATTTTCCTTTCCAAACTTTTGTTTCCATGCTTCTTGATCATGTGCTTTGACTTTCAGTTCCCTGTATTTTCTCCTCTCGCGTAAGTTGTCAATCGTTTGCATTCTTCTTCTTCCCATTCCTTTTGTTCCTTCTATTTTACCCTCGACGACGTCGTGTAGGAGGCACTCTTTTTGCAAAAGAGGTCCGATCCAGTTTCCTTTCCTTTTCAGAAATGTGCTCAGTAGAGTCCTTTCTTCGCCCACTCTTCTCAGGACTTCTTCATTTGTTACTTTGTCTGTCCACTTTATCTTTTCCATTCGCCTCCAGCACCACATTTCAAAACTCTCGAGGTAGTTCTTATCGGCCTTTCTCAGAGTCCATGTCTCCGATCCGTACAGAGCTATGCTCCAGACGTAGCACTTTATTATTATTTTTTGTAAGTCAAAACTCAGTTTGCTCGTCAGTAGCGTTCTCTTCTTTGTGAATGCCGCATTGGCGCTTGCGATCCTTGTCCTGATCTCTTTCGTGCAGTATCCGTCTCTGGTTAGTATGCTTCCCAGATATTTGAAGTGATCCACGTCTTCGAATTCTCGATTTTCTACTGTTATCCACAGGGGGTTATTTGTTTTTGTGATTCTCATCACTTTCGACTTGTCTATGTTGATTTCCATTCCGTATCTTCTACCCACTTCGACGATTCTGTCCATATTGTTCTGCAGCTCGGTTTGGTTTTTCGATATCACTACTAGATCATCAGCGTACTTTATGGTGGTGATTCTTCTTCCTCCAATCGAAAAATCTCCAGCGCCCTCAAGTGCCTCGTTCACTAGCCATTCTCCGTACAGGTTGAATAGGATCGGTGACGTACAGCATCCTTGCCGCACTCCTCTGCCTATTTCAACGCTATTCGTATCTCCCTGGTTCATTCGAACCTTTACTTTCTGACTCATATACAGATTCTGGATCAGCCTGCGATCCCTCCAATCGACCTTAATATATTTTAAAATTCCCATAAGCATACTCCAGTTAACTCTGTCAAAAGCTTTCTGCCAATCTATAAAACAGAAGCATATGTCCTCGTTAACGTCGAGACATCTGTCCGACATTATTCTCAGCATTTCAATAGCGTCCCTGGTGCCTCTTCCTTTTCTGAAACCAAACTGGTCTTTGCTCATGTGCTGCTCAATCTTATTTTCGAGTCGCCTCGTAAGGATTTTGGCCAAAAACTTTCCGGTGTGCAAAGTTAAACTGATCGTCCTGTGGTCGCTGCATTTATTTGCTTTGGGCTTTTTCTAAAGAGCTATCATCGTGACATCCAAAAAGTTCTTTGGCCATTCACCCGTTCGATAAATTTGATTCAATAATTTGGTCAATTTCCTTAATCTGTTGTCGCGCAGCTCTTTCAGTAGGTCCGCCGGTATGTCGTCATCTCCCGTTGCTTTCTTTCTTCTCATCTCATTTATTGCTCTCTCGACTTTGCTTTTCAATATGCACGGTCCCTTGTCGTCTTCGTCCATTTCTTTCTCTTCTTCGATCTCGATATTATCAGGACGATTTTCTCTATCGTACAATTTCTCAATGTATTTTTCCCATACGCTGAGAATTTTCTTGTGGTCACTCACTCTATCTCCATTGTCGTCTTCTAATTCGTATGTTATTCTGCTTTTTCTGTCATTCCAGTTCATTTCCTTTGTAGCCTAAAACATTAAATCATACCTACCATGTTTTTGATGTTCCATTATCTTGTTGCACGTTCCGTCCATGTATTTCACCTTCGCTTTCTCTGTTTCTCGCTTTAATTCATTATTCATTTTTCTATGCATCCTCGGGTCTGTATTTTTATACTTTTACGCTCATCCATTTTCTTTATCATCTTTTGGGTTATCCATGGCTTTCTAGCTACTTTTTCTAGCTTTCCGACGTTTTCTTCTAGCGTTTCCAGAAGTACACTTTTTACCTCATTCCAATCTTTTTCTACTGCCTCTTCCCTATCTTTTATTACGCTAAACTTCGTCTCCATATCTCTCCTCACTACGATTTTATTGTTCCTCAGGTTTTCCAGATTCCATCTCTGTCTTTGTTACCTGTTTTGCGCATGTTCTTCAGCTTTGTCTCTAAAACGGCCGTGAACAGATTATGATCGGAGTCTATATCGGCCCCTGGAAAAGTCTTAACGTCTTTCACGCTATTTCTGAATCTGTTCTTGACGATGATGTAGTCAATTTGATATCGTTCGCTGTCTCCCGGGCTTTTCCAAGTATACAGCTTTGTCTTCCGATTTTTAAACCTAGTGTTTGTGATCATCAGATTGTTTCTGCGGCAAAAATCGATCAACATATTTCCTCTGTCGTTCCTTCTGCCCAATCCGTATTTTCCGACTATCTTTTTCTCTGATCCCTTTCCGACTATAGCATTAAAATCTCCCATAATCACCACGTTGACCTTTCCTTTGCCTTCCTGATACAGCATCTCGTCTATCTGCTCGTAGATTTGTTCTACCTGCGCCTCGTCGTGGCTCGATGTCGGCATGTACACCTGCACCACCATCACGTCCACCGGCTCCGCTTTCATCTTTACACTCATCAAACGATCACTCAAGCAGTTCACATTCAGCACACTTCTCACCGACTTGTTTCTCACCATGACTGCCCCTCCTCTCTCGGATTTGTCTCCTCCGGAGTGATACATTGTGAAACCGTTCGATTTGGTTTCACCTTGCCCCTGCCATCTTACCTCACTCAGTCCCACGACGCCCACTTTGCACTTGTTCATTTTTCTCTTGAGGTTTTCCAGTTTTCCTGCCCTCATCATTGTCCTGACGTTCCAGGTTGCTAACCTGAAAGGCAAATCGACCGCAGTTTTGTGGCTACTTTCGATGGCTTCCCCCTCCATAGCCTTCACCCGGAGATGCGAACGGGAGGTCATTACTCCGGAATATTTTACAGAAGAGAAAGCCATCATTGAAACCATTTTCTCGTAGAATGCTCTTACGCCTACTCTGGGAAGAATGTAATGTGGTAGTATTCCTCTTTTCCTTTCCACATCGCAGCGCCCGGACCAGCTGCACCCGTCATTCGGGTCGCGCTCCGGACTTTTTGATCTGGAGCCATCTTGAGCATCATTTGCTTTGTGCCTCCAGTCAATACAGATGTCGCTGCTGCCCGACACCAGCTAACACGGTTAGCCGATTTCGCTGTTTCTAGCTATTCGTTGCCCATCCCCCACGGCGAGGACGTCGAGTCAGTTCGGGGAGTTATATATATATATATATATATATATATATATATATATATATATATACACGACATATGTACATATATACATATATACATATACACACACACACATATATATATATATATATATATATATATATATATATCTTCTATATCTCCAGCACTCGCTGAGTTATCTTTACAATATTTAGAGACCAAAGTGTTTAATTCTTGCAAATTAGATCTTCAATTCTATTACAGGTACGTAGATGACATTTTTACTTGTGTGCCCGTTAAAAACTTTGAACTTTTACTCCACAATTTTAACTCTTTCAATGAACATCTCTCCTTCACTTTCAAAAAAGAACAGAACAATTCCATCAGCTTTCTTGACGTCAAAATTATAAAAACCTTAGATAACCGTATCATCACAAATTGGTACCAAAAACCTACTTGGTCGGGCAGGTACTTAAATTTTCATTACTATCACCCATCTAGCATGAAAATAGGTACTATAATTAATTTAGTTGACCACGCCATACTTCTCTCGGACAAACAATTTTGGTCTTCTAATTTATCGTTAATCCACACAACACTTATTAATAACTCTTATCCTCCTAATCTCATAAACTCTGTCACGTACAATAGACTCAAATTTCTCAATAATAACAATAATATCTCTTCTTCTTCTACCAAAATCTCCAAAGACAATAACTTTATTGGTAATGTTTGTCTCCCGTTTATTAAAGAACTCTTTCCCATTTGGAAAAAACTGTTCCACAAGGTCGACTTAAGATTAATTTGTAACATAGACTTAACCCTTAGCTTTCTTTTTTCCAACCTCAAATCACCCATTAGTTTAGAACGCACATCGAATATTGTCTATAAATTAAAATGCAATGATTGTGATTCCATTTACATAGGTGAAACTGGACAAAATTTAATAAAACGACTAAAACAACATGATGATAACTCTAAAAACCCACGACAAAATCAAACTATGATAACAGAACATATAAAAAATTTTAAACATTCTTTTGACGCTAGTATACTTTATCACGAATGATACATTATTCAGAGAAGATTTGCTGAAACTTGTCTAATCAGCATTTCTAAATTTTGTGTTAATAAACGCCATGATGCCTCCTTACTCTGTGAAAATTATCAGGTGATACTTAATAATATTTCCAAATTTGTTTCCTCTTAACCTGCATAATTCCGAACCTGTAAACCTACCCTTACGCGGTCCGATCCCGAACTTTGATTCTTAGCCTCTCACCCATACTTCGAAACACTGATTGTAAAAAAACCCGCCAACTATTCCCTCAAACGGTCTCTTCAAATAATTTTTAAACACATGTTACTACAGCCTCGGGCTCGGTCAAATAAACTACGTTCTCTGTGCAAAATATATTATATATTTCACAAATATTTTACTATGCTCTGTTCAACAAAATAATAATAAAAAAAACAAGTTAGTGTATATATAAAATAGTGCAAAATTATGTGCCTTGCGCTAGCTACTGATGTAAGACCATATTTATGTAAGTTTGCTTCGTTGTCTATATATATGTATGTGTCTGTATTGCATATGTATGTATATGTATATGCATATATATATATATATATATATATATATATATATGTATATATGTATAAATGTGTATGTATGTATATATGTGTATATATATGTTTATATATACGTATTATTCGTATGTATATATGTATATGTGCACGTGCTTGTACATGTATATCATATATACATGTTTGTTTGTGTGTATATTTATGTATATATATATTACGCTTTTGTATGTTTGTATATATTTCTTTTTACTTTTCATTTCTCTTGTTTATCTAGCTGTTAAGTATTATTTGTTATTGTTATAATTATATTACTTATATCTATAGTTCTTTGTCCAATTTCTGTCAATTTTTCCCTAGTTTATATTAATTTTTCAATATTCATTCTGTAGATCCACTGATGATGACATAAAATACTATGTCGAAACGTTTGGAAAAATTAAAGATTAACTTCTAAATCTTTGCCTTTTATTTGATGTATGCCCTTGAAGAACTTACTCATATTTCTCAACATCAAAACTAACTTCTCTAATATATATATATATATATATATATATATATATATATATATATATATATATATATACATATACATACATATATATAAACATATATATATATATATATATATATATATATATATATATATATATATATATATTGTTAGCGAAATATATTGTGTGAATGTTTGAATGGATGTTTGAATATGGCGCGGATGACAGTCCCGTGCGGTTGGTAATGTTGATGTTGAGCGTGTGTGTGCAGTTGGCAATAGTGACTGTACGAACAGAGTGAATGTATGCAGGAAGGAAGTGTAAAACTGAGAGAGTTGAATAGAGTGAACGCGGAGAGACGGACTGGTGAGTTATTTTAATTTATAGATTTCTGACAAATAATTAAATATAGAGAATAGACAATAATATATACATAAATATACATATATATATACACACACACACATATATATATATATATATATATATATATATACATACACATATATTTATATATACATAAATATACATATACATATATATATATATATATATATACATGTACATGCCTATACATGTACATTTATACCTACAAAAAATATATATATAAAAGAAAATAAAAAAAATAAAATGAAACTTACATTGAACATGGTATTTTTATATCTAAAAATGTGTACACATCACAGAATTTTGCACTAACATTGACACAAATAACCAGTCGAAACTGTGGAAAAACTTCAAGTATTTTTTCGCAGACCGGAGGGTATGTGATCGCTGCGAATCCTGAGGCAAGTATAAACACATGTGGGGTAAAATTTTGTTTTGAGGACACTAAAAGGTTTTTACAATCAACGTGGCAATGTGTGGGTGAGTAAGGCTAGGTTTTTATGTTCGGAATTAACTGTGTAAGGTTAGGTAAGGTTTACATGAACGGATTTAGTTTTAAACAATTAATAAAATTGAAAAAAACGAAAAAATAAATTTAGCGACAACATTACACGGGTTTAGGTTTACTCAATGGAAATAAATTTAGAAACGTTATTAAGTATAACTTGGTAATTTTCGCAAAGTAAGGATGTAGCATTTCTTTTGTTTACACTATTTTTAATCAAGGTTTTGTAACAAGATTTTGCAAAGCGTCTCTGAATTGTGTTTTGTTCCTGATAAAGAATACGGGCATTATGAAAGTTAAATGTGTGTTTAAAATTGTTGATGTGGTCTGTAATCATGGTTTGGCTTTAGTTGGGTTTTTTAGAATTATTGTCATGTTGTTTAAGTCTTTTTATCAGATTTTGTCCAGTTTCAACCACATAAGTCGAACATATCAAGCCTACATATCAAGACCTTTTTGTAAGGACACTCAGAACCACTACTACACTAAAGTTACAACTCCAAGATTTTGATCATTTTCAAGATCTCTTACAAGTGTTTTTTAATTTTTGACAGCATGAATTTTTAAAATAATTATAATTTTACTACTATATATGTAAATAGTTCTCTCCATACAAATAATGTAAGACATAATATTCGTTCCTCTTATCAATATCCAACTCACATACTGAATTATAATAATTTCAATAATTCGTTCACTTACCGTTATAACAATTCTTACTTTCATAATAATTTTACACAATGCATTCCTTACTTTTTCCCGTCTTTTTTCGAGTACATTTCCCAATGCTATGGACCTACTAAACTCAAATTATTTAAAACTAATTCAAATCTTTTCTCAAAACTGGCTATCGTCAACAACAAAAGAACTGTTTTACTTTGTTGTCGTAAAGAAAGACTTTCCCAAAATCCTTTAATTTCAAACTAATAAACTTTAATCATCCATATTCCAATTATCTTAAAAATAAAATGCTTTTTTTTCTGTTTTGTTGCTGAATCTAGAAATCAAACATTGCATTAGCTCTATTGATAACATAAATAAATCTTTAAACTTTAACATCCAATCCTTATTTTTCACTATGAATAATCACATTGACATTAACAATTTTTTAGATTTAGAAAACTCTAGATTCAATAATTCTTTTAATATGTCAAAAAAATCTTTCATAAAAAAATTCAATACTCTTATTCGAAAAAAGCAAACAAATCCAAATTAAATATAAACCCTGATATCATCAATAAATGGGTAAAAAACATTTCCGATTCAAACATCCCATCCAATGTTTTGAACGTTTGAGCACCAGGTCCTAAATTTTTCATTCCACAACAGAAAAAAACAATGTTTTGAACATTTTAGCACCAGGTCCTAAATTTTCCATTCCACAACAGAAAAAAACTTTAATTTTGTCAAAACACTTAGCTCTTTAGAATATAATTTACGTAATTTAAAAGATATCAATGAAAAACCGTATTAATATATTTTTTGCAACCAACTTAATTCGTTTTTCAAATTTGACATTTCACACATTCATCAACATAAAGAATTACTCACAGACATCCACTTTTGCAAATTCATTATCAAAGAACACCGTGAAATTGTTTTTACCAAGGCAAATAAGGGTAACATCACGGTTATCATGAACAAAGTTTAACTATATTTCTAAATCCATGTCCCTCCTAGCTGATGTAAACATTTACAAACCTATAAATTTAGATCTTGCCGACATTATAATTCGGAATACTTTGAAGTTTATTGATTCATTCATAGAAAGCAAGCAAATTCTCAAAC